TATATATATATATATATATATATATATATGTATGTATATGTGTGTGTGTTTATTTATTTTTTGCTGTATGGTTATTATAGGCTGTATGTTTTTGTTCATTGTAGATGAGCTGGACAGAGAGAGGAGCAGTGAGAGGAAACAGTTTACATGCTGAATCTGATGACGTCACGATGGCGGACAACACTCTCTACTGCAGCAGAGAAACTGGTAAGGAAGTGTACAGTGTGTACAAAACCATAAAATTACAACAAAATAGTTCCAAAACCACTAATATGAATGCATGCACACAAGACTAAAGTCACAAGAAGAGTTGCTTGTGGAGCTGTTCTGATGGATGAGCTGGTTTCAGAGATCTGGTGAAGTACCTTACAAAGGTCACTGCCAGTTTCTGTGAAAGATATACAAAAAATAGAACTAGAGGTAGATACTAAGCAATTTGGTGCACCGTCTCTACAAAGCTGACACGCTTTCGCGGAGATAGGCTTGTTCACTAGTCTGACACCTCTAGTTAATTTTGTGCTGTGAAAATATTGTAAACCAACAGCTAACTTCTTCATTCCTCTGTTACGTAGTGGAACATTGTGGCTCATCTTTGTTCTCTTGTGGTGGAAAAAAATATCACACAAGTGTCCGCCTTGTTTGCAGATTGACCACTATTTGTGTAAATGCGCAATATCCTGCTGTTCTAAAAGATTGTTCAGTGCCCCGTTTGACTTCCTTTTCATCCATTTTTATTTTTATGTCTTCATTAATGTTGGGTAAGTGCTGTTTGTTTGAAGGTTGGCATAGCGTACTGTTCTTTGTAACACTGGTTACTTTCATTTCATCTCATCTTTCATTTCATTTCATCAAATGTTGCAGTATTTGAGAACATTATTTTGGGAGTGTAGTTTGGCTCTTTTGCAATTATCTGAAATATTGATAGCAGCTGTGTATATTTCTTAACAGACCACGCACATATTTTCTCATTCAGACGTTCTTGTACGCCAAAGCCATATCTGATATCATCAATCAAATTCTGACCGATTTTAAAAAGTTGCCGTATTTGAGAATGTAAACACATGTACAGTTAAAACAGTTAACTCTGCATTGGAATTCTGGGATAAAAAAAAAATACACACACACACACACACGCACACGCACACGCACACACACACACACACACACACACACACACACACACACATCCGCACAGACACGTGTATAGACAACAGGTTCAGCAGAGGAGAGGCGAGGGTTTGTCCAGATGACCCTAAAAACACAAATGACAGAAAGAGTGATCAAATCTTCACACT